ATTAAATTGTTGTTCAATTTTTATTTCAAAATGACTTAAGTCTTTAACCAAAGCTAAATTTTAGCTAAATTGTCCCACATTAAATTTTAAATATGTAGACTACCATTCATAAGTTTGGGGTCAGCATGATTTTAATGATATTAATGAGTCTATTATGCTCACCAGTATACAGTAAAAACAGAAATATTATTACAATTTAAAAGAACTGATTTCTATTGTAACATTTTTTAAAACGTAATTTATTCCTGTGATGCAAAGTTGAATTTTCAGCATCATTACTCCAGTCGTTAGTGTCAGAAAGGCAGGCGTGCAGATATATCAGAAACTTGTTAATGCATTACCCAAATATTAGTTTTTATTGTAACAGCTATGATTTTTAGGGGCTTTAATGATGCTTAGTACTATATAGTAACAGATTTGGACTTTCAGGACCCCTTCATCACAGGGCCCAGGACAGATTTCCCAGTTGTTGTCCTAACATCTTCTGCACACCTGTGTGGTTGCTCATAAAACAGAGGTTAATGAATCAAAACCGCCTGCACATCTGTAGACCGTGACATTAGCGAGCTCCATAAATCATCTTAGCTGCTTTCTTTTGCCTTGTTGTCCTTTCTCTTTCGCCATCTCGTCTGGTTTGCAGGTTCAGAGGGCACTGCAGGACTTACATGCACACATGAGAGAGCGAGAGGAGATGAGGACAGCAGGATGCAAAATTTAGTGTGAGAGAGAAGTAAGAAAACCGAGATAGTGGGGTGAGAAAGAGGAAAATGTGTTAAAGTGAGAGAGAGAGCAAGCAACTGGAAAGTGCTGTGCAGGCCTGTGCCGTCTCACTCACAAATACCGGCTTTCCTCACCATGGCAACAGTCCCTATCCGATCCTCGCAGGAACTCAAGTTCCTGTTGTGAAGGATTATTTGACTACTGAAATGCACAACTCCGATATTAGACGACAGAGAATAAACGCAGAGACCGTCTGTTCAAATGACATCAAGTCAGATCGGATTTAAAAGAATATTTCCTCTTATTTTTAAGCCAGTGTTTGTGTACTGGCGTGCTGTTGATTGCTACAGAAAATAATTTCTCATCTTTCAGAGTAGCTTTTATTTTTATTAAAGCGTTATGCATTTTGTGTAAGTTATGCATTGCCTATGTAATTCCTTTGAATTTGTTGAAGGATATAACTTCGGATAGGTAGCATAGGCTCTCGTCTCATGCTAAAACATGGAGGTTGATATGTAGGTGTAATGCTTATACTTTGAAATAGTAGCTTTGTTCCAGACCCTATTGCACTGCCCACCAAGACTGCATTTTAAAGCATCATAGGCACATCCTCGACATGAAGGCTGTAAGCAGTAAGCGTCATAATTGTTCAACCTTGTTTCTGACAAATTCATCCAATATGCATCATTCATGGAGAAACTCACTCCAAAATGCATTGCAACACGATCAGTAATAATATACTAAGTTTATATTATTTTATAGTATACTAAAGGATTGATTTTTTTTTTTTAAGTCAAACTATCTTACCCAACATTTGTGTTCAATATGTAGCAATTTTTTTTAATGTCAGACTTCTACAGGGTTGATGTTATTTTGTTGGCCAACCTAAAAGTTCATCCTGGTTCCCTCAACTAAAAGCCAGTAGTATTTTCCTTTAGCTTTTGAATTATTGAAGAGTAAGTTCTATCACCAACAAAAGTTTATGATTCTTACATGTTTTTTTCATCAAGATAAACTTGTATGAACACAGCTGAATTTTTACATACCTCTTGCGAAATGCGAAATGCAAAATGTCAATAATTTTAACAAAATAAGAAGGATCATGAAAACTGCATGGTATTTTTATTTTTTTAAATTTTTTTTAGTCCTGTCCTGAATAAGCTATTTCACATAACATATGTTTACATTTACTCCACAAGACAAAATAATAACTCCAAATAATAAGTCCATATAACACCATTCAAAAGTTTACATACCCTTGAATCTTAATACTGGCTCTTAATGCATCAGGGTGCCTCAGTAAATGTTTTCACCTTTTGAGGTAGTTGTGTATGAGCTCCTCAATTGTCCTCAGTGTGAAAAGATGGATCTTACAATTGTACAGTAATTGTTGGAATGGGGTCAAATATGCAGAAGATGCTGGAAAACCAAAGAATGTGCAGGACCTGGAGGATTTTTTTGGAGAAATGTTGGCAGTTCAACGGCTCAGGACTCATAAACAACTATCACAAAATATCAAAACTGTCATGGATCATCCAGGTAACGTCATACAGTATTAAGATTCAAATTAAAACAAATAAACATGAAACATGTTCAAATATGAACAAATACATTTGATGAATTCAGTTATTATTTTGTCTTGCGGAGTAAATGCAAACATCTGTTATGTGAAATAGCCTATTCAGGACAGTAGTAAATAAAAAATGATATGCAATTTTCCTGATCCCTCTTATTTTGTTAAAGGGGTCATATGATGTTGCTAAAAAGAACATTATTTTGTGTATTTGGTGTAATGAAATGTGTTTATGCGGTTTAAGGTTCAAAAAACACATTATTTTCCACATACTGTACATTATTGTTTCTCCTCTATGCACCGCCTTTCTGAAACGCGTCGATTTTTACAAAGCTCATTGGTCTGAAAAAGCGAGGTGTGCTGTGATTGGCCAGCTATCCAGTGCGTTGTGATTGGCCGAATACCTCAAGCGTGTGACGGAAATGTCACGCCCCTTACCATATTGTGATAATGCCCTGTCCGGCCGGAGCTACGAGACAAAAACATTAAAGAGCTTGTAACACTCCAAAGAGAAAGGAAAAATTGAAATCGCATCATATGACCCCTTTAAAATTATTAACATTTTGTATAAGGAGTATGTAAACTTTTGAGCAATCGCTGGAAGTAAACAGCTAAAAAGGCCATAAATTAACTACACCACTGTCATGTGACTTCAATGTCACTACCATTAAGCTTCCGACAACTCTTTCAATTTTTATTAAAAATCTACAACCTGGAAAGTTTGAGTTAAAATAGTTTGCAAGAATGTGTTACTCACAAAGTGACTAATGACTGTACTGTACCTGTTTAGTGTGATGCCGTTTAATGTCCCTGACAGCCTCTGTAGTCCCATTTAGCCATTTGTTAGCAACCATCTTTTTCAAGACACAAAAAGCTTAAAAAAACATGAATGGAGTATGAATGATGTATTTTATGTCATAGAATAAAACATTATTTTGAGCTTGTTTTAACCACAGACCATATTTCAGGCAGTTATGTTGAAATCTGTTCATAAAAACCATTTATTTTGGGACGATGGAACCAGAAGTTCAAAAATGTTTCTGAGTTTTAGGACTATTAAAGTATCATGTTGTTAGCTTAGCAACCATGCTAACACAACACTGCCTTAGAAGGCTCTGCCTGTGTAGACAGCAGACAGCAAGACGAGTTTAAATACTTGTCGGCTTGGCTTGTAAATGCATGTTTCATTTGTTTTTACAAATCAAGGGGAGAGGTAGCGTTATTCTCTGTGGAGACTGACAACATTACATTTAAGCAGCAGTAGCCTATTTCTTGAAAGAGAGGATAACAGATTTGGAAATGATCACAGGAGAGAGAATATGCTGCATACTTGAAGACAAATTATTATGGCGTGTCAAATGGACAGAATGTCTGGCCCATGCGATTAGAGTGAGCTCAGTGTTGTGGCTGTAGGTCATACGCCCAGCATTAGCCAATCTCTGCCAGTTTTCTGTGCCTATACATAACCATTTCTGAAATAAACCCTCAGAATAGGACTGTTAGTAGTACTAAGTACTAGTCATTTATCAGATACTTAAATCCTACACAAAAGCCACGCCAATTTGACATGAACAAACAAGACAAGTTACTAAATTATTATGCAGGAGTCATTCAGGTTACAACAAAATCATTTCCCCCAGGGTGTGCAATATAAAAAAGGCTACTTAAAGTTAATGTTTACCAGTTTTAGAAGAAGAACCACTTAATCGTTTAATTGGGAACTTGACATGCATGAGTAGGTGGATGTGACCGACTCGCCCCACACCCTTCCAGCTGGAAACGGCATCAGGAGCAAGGCAGTGCCCGTTCTGTGGTGAGATCTCTAAATAAACAGGGTGTGCCACCTTTGGCCAGATCTAGACCTCAATAGACATGTGTCTTGCCGCTGGATCCCAAATGAATGGGCCTTTTCTTTTCCACACACACACATACACATGCATAAACACATTCTACTTGTTTTTTTGTGTTTGGAAAAGTCCAAAACACACTCCTTTTGGTGTTGTGTTGTCCATATCTCCTAGTGGTCCGTTGTTTTTTGCTGTGGACGTGCATGGCTCTGTTCTGATGATCTCACCGAGAGGAATTTTTGAGCATGATTTCCTGTTCTGGATGTCTGAGTGTAGCACAGCTTAAACATTGACCACACAAACAGCCGCATTGAGTCGTGATACAATCCAGCCACGTCAATTACAGCGTCACATGTTTCATGAACTCGCGCTGCCAGCTCGTCAGATTGCTATTGATCGAGATTTAATTCTGCACGTGGTAATCTGGGTGAAAGGGTTTGTGTGTGGATATTTCTAAGGAGCATTGTTCTAGGTCAAGCTCGTCTGTCTTCAGGAATGCTGAAATGTGTATGTGCTTGGCGATTCCTGTAGGAATGTGGTCAGGCCAGTTTGTTAGTAGTCAGGTGTCTCGTGTTGCACCTGATATTATCCACCCGCTGAACCTAAAACATTTGGACACACCTTAGAACAATAACTATCTAACTGAAAGCATTCCTGTAGCTCAATGACAAAGTCATGGTTTCGATTCCCAGGGAATGCATGAACTGATAATACAGTGTATCTGAATGCAACTCAAGTCACTTTGTATAAAAGCATCTGCCAAAAGCATAAAGGCGCACCTAGCAGTAGATTGCATAATTCTCTCCATGATTAACACTGTCCTTTTTCTTTGTTGTTTTCCTGTTCTCTGAAACCCGTAGAAGGACCCGGACTACCTGAAACTCTGGTTGGAGATCTTCATCGGCTCCTACGAGAGATGCCTGGATGTGGATTTCGAGAAACCACCAACCAGGTAGACTTTACTGCAGTCCAGCTACATTTATCCATCAATCTAACCATCTGAGATGCACTTAAACCTCCATTATCAAGTGAATAATTGCTTAAAAGAATGAGATTAAGTTCACAGTTCCTTGTCACATCTTTTCAGTTTTTTCTGCACTACAATGTGGGCTGAAGTCTTGCATAGCCAGTCTTTTGACAGTTAGTATCAAGTCTGGTCCACCTTGGAGCTTATTCAGTCAGTTTTTGAAAATATGCAGTTTTGTATCCTGAATCACTCCCTGTGTAGAACTGTGTAGAAGTGGAGGTCGGCCTTCTAGTACATACCTGTATATGAATGGGTGTAACCATAATGCTCAATATGGCGGCAGTAGTCCCGCCTACAGTTAAAGGGATAGTTCACCCAAAAATGAAAATTCTGTCATTAATTACTCACCCTCATGTCGTTCTAAACCCGTAAGACCTCCGTTCATTTTCGGAACACAAATTAACAAGTAGCAAGGAGATCGGTAAAATAATCCATGTCACATCAGGGGTTCAACCGTAATTTTACGAAGCGATGAAAAGAAAACAAAAATAACGACTTTATTCAACAATTCTTCTCCAATTTGTCTTCTCCGCGTCACCCTGGCGCCATTTTAGAGAGTATCCACTGAACGCAAACAGCGTATGCTGTTCTGTGTCAACTGAACCACGCGGATACGTTGTTTCGTTCAAATCAGAGCGTAAACGACAGAAAACGCAGCTGACACAGAATAGCATACGCTGTTTACGTTCAGTGGATACTCTCCAAAATGGCACCAGGGTGACACGGAGGAGAAGAATTGTTGAATAAAGTCATTATTTTTGTTTTCTTTGCGTACAAAAAGTATTCTTGTAGCTTCGTAAAATTACGGTTGAACCCATGATGTGACATGGATTATTTTACCGATCTCTTTGCTACGTTTCTGGACCTTGATCGTGGTAATTACATTGCTATCAAAGGGAGGGTCATAGAGCTCTCAAAATTCATCAAAAATATCTTAATTTGTGTTCCAAAGATGAACGGAGGTCTTACGGGTTTAGAACGACTTGAGGGTGAGTAATTAATGACAGAATTTTCATTTTTGGGTGAACTAACTCTTTAAAAGAGCCAATCACCTTTTTGTTAGAGGCAACATTACATACAATATCGCAGCTGTAGAAATAAAAGTCCCATCTTGCAGTTAAAAGAGACAAATAATATTTTTATTTACTTACGAATGCACATATGAATTAGCCCGACTACCCTGAGAATTTGAGCTTAAAGGCACAATCATATGAAAGGCTGCAGGCTAAAGTGACTTGCCTGAGAGACTTATTGGTATAAAAGCAAGCCAATCAGATTGTGATATTTGACCATGTTTGTGTACTATGTCCAGTGTTATTTTAGTATTATTGATATACTACTTTCTACCTTATTTTTCATCGCCGAAGTAAGCTGTTTTCTGTGAACGTGTGAGACTTCTGATTCATTCTCTGCTGTAGGGAAATAACCAGAAGAATAACAAAGTACTGTAAACAGTAAAACTGTTTGTGCTACAAACCAGTGTGTTTATAATTAAGAATAATATGGTAAAATAATATGGTAAGAACACCACGAACGAGTTGTTTTGTACAGCTAACAATAGCTGGAAGCGGATGACATTGGAAGCTAGACGTGTTCAATTTACAAATGGTGGATGGTGTTTGTTAATATTTTGAATTAGATTTTATTTTTATATTTTCGGTTTTGACTTTAATTTTAGCTAAGTTGTTTTAAGTTTTAATAATTTTGTTGTGTTTTTTCTGTTTTTTTTTTTTGTTTTGTTTTTGTAATGTTAGTACTTGAAGTTCAACTAAATGAAAATGTAAAGTGTTGCCTTAAAGTTGAAGTAATACAATTAAGTAACACTTTTTAGTTTAATTAACGACAATAACCCTTAAGACTGACTTTGAGTAGTTTGTTGGTGTGTAATATGAGACTGAGACTAGACAGGAAGTACGCCTTTTTTAACTGCTATCCTCTGTTAAACTTAATAAGCTAAATTTAATGGTTTAATATTAGAGACACATCACATGATTGTTTTGGTTATGTGTCTGTTTGTGTACATGCATGTCTGTGGATAATGAGCCGTATTTAACGGACGCCCTGCCATCAAGGTCACGTTCTGATGCAAGTGAGCGGCAATACAGAGAAAATCCAGCGAGCCTAGTCTCTGTGTGTATGTGTGTGTGCATGGAAAATAAATTGAAGAGGCTAGAACTAGATAAAAGTGGGAAATAAGACCGTTACAGAGCTTGAAGAACAGAAAGAGGGAGAGTGTTGAAGGATTTATGCGGTGGTAGTGCATGAGAAAATCACTCTCGCTTTCCCAGCTGTGGTCATGTGATCATGAAGTGCTTAGGCTGTCAGATGACATTACGTAATGCGGAGCGAGAGGAGAGCCAGGAACCGACAGACGGAGAGAGAGATGGGATTGTCATGGGTTTATTCGTCTCTCTCCTTTACAGCTGTGCTGTTCTTCTCACACAGATCCACTTCATTACTGTACAGTTCTCTCACTCTTTTAGATGCTGGAAAAACACACTCTTGTAGTGCAGAGTATTTGCCTTCACGGTCAGGACTGCAGAATTACAAATCCCAGAGGTGCTTTAAAGGAGTAATTCACCCAAAAATGACAGTTCTGTCGTCACTTATGCCTTCAAACCCCATATGTTGGTCTTCATTTTCACTGCAATTAGTCCCCAGGGGATTCAAGCATCACAAAAGCTCCATTTAAGTATTGTAATCAATATATATGGACCATTTTATAATGGTTTTGCATGTATAATAGGGCTGTGTTGAAAAAGGATTGTTTAATCAATTCTCATTTTGATGAACTGATATTGATTCCAAGAATTGCTAAATATATGCAATATATTACATATTGTTTTTCCTTAAACCTTTCTTCCATATTTCATGTATGTTTGAACAAATCCAAGTTTTCATGACAGCCACCATTTAAATGTTTATATTTTAAACAACAATCTAGAGTAGAAATGTAATTATATCTTTTAAAAGTTATTATAATGCTATTATAACCAATTGAGATCGGAATTGAATCGAATTTGCAAGTTTGTGAATTGAATTGCAAGTTTGTGATTTGAATTGCAATCTTGTTAATTGTGAATGGAATCGCGAGTTTGTGAATTGTGAATGGAATCGCGAGTTTGTGAATTTTGAATGGAATCGCGAGTTTGTGAATTGTGAATGGAATTGCGAGTTTGTGAATTTTGAATCAAATAAAAAAGTTTGTGAATTGTGAATCGAATCGCGAGTTTGTGAATTGTGAATGGAATCGCGAGTTTGTGAATTGTGAATGGAATCATGAGTTTGTGAATTTTGAATCAAATCAAAAAGTTTGTGAATTGTGAATGGAATCGCGAGTTTGTGAATTGTGAATCAAATTGCAAGTTTGTGAATTGTGAATGGAATCGCGAGTTTGTGAATTTTGAATGGAATCATGAGTTTGTGAATTTTGAATCAAATCAAAAAGTTTGTGAATTATGAATCGAATTGCAAGTTTGTGAATTGTGAATCGAATTGCGAGTTTGTGAATTTTGAATGGAATCACGAGTTTGTGAATTTTGAATCAAATCAAAAAGTTTGTGAATTGTGAATCAAATCGCAAAATGTGAATTGTGAATCGAATCGCAGGTTTGTGAATCGTGAATCACAAGTTTGTGTTCCGAATTGCAAGCTCGCGAACTGAATCGCAAGTTAGTGAATTGTGAATCGAATTGAATTGTAAAATTTGTGTCAATACCCAGCCCTAATTTCTGATGATTTTGCATGTGTGCTGCAGGTTGGAGGAGACGCCGCCCGTCATGACGCTGTTACCTGATAACATCCTGCAGGTGTTGCGTCTGCAGCTGCTGCAGTGTGTGCAGAAAGCGTCTGAGGGACTGGAGCCTGAGCAGCAGACGTTGGCCCTCCTGCTCCTCAAGTTCCTCATCGTCATCTGCAGGTCAGACTCTGAGGGCCTGATGGGAGAGAAGCGCTTTATGACTAAGAAAAAACATTGCAGAAACAGATCAGTATTTGAGCTAAATGCTCAAACTTACTCAAGTAAAAGAACTGTTTGCATATAGAGTCTCTTATGAAAATATAAAGTGCACTGAATCTCAGGAAAAACAGAAACTGGACACCTGTGATCCTGCTGAATGTTTCATGAGTTCTCCGAGCACCTGCTGCTGAGGGTTCATGCGTGGTTTCCACTTTCAGCGACACATCGAGACTTTTAAGGGTCCAACAGTGCCATTGCTCGAATGGCAGCTGCTACTCAAATGTACACACACACTTAATGAGGATATCCCATAGACTACTTTATTTAAGGTTGTTTAACATAACTCTAGTCAAACTCTTTTAGATGGTTACAGTTTTTAGATGTAAAAGAGACATTTTTCAATCATACACTACCATTCAAAACTTTGGGGTCAGTAATATTTTAGAAATTAATCGTTTTATTCAGCATAGTTTCATACAAGGATGCATTAAATTGATCAAAAGTGACAGTAAAGATATTTCTAAATAATGTTACAAAATATATATTATTTAAATAAATGTTGTTCATTTGAACTTTCTATTCAAAGAATAGAAAAATCATTGTTTTCCACAAAAATATGAATCAGAAATGTTTCCTGAGCAGCAAATCAGCATATTAGAATGATTTCTGAAGGATCGTGAAGACTGTAATGATGCTGAAAATTCAGCTTTGATCACAGGAATAAATTAGAGTTTAAAATGTTACAATAGCAAAATGTTATTTTAAATTGTAATAATATTTCACAGTGTCATTATTGTTACTGTATTTTTAATCAAATAAATGCAGCCTTGGTGAGCATAAGAGAGTTTTTTCAAAACATTTAAAACATCTAACCGACCCCAAACTTTTGAACCTTAGTGTAGCTCCTGGGACGATATTGTCTTCTTCTGTGAACATATATTTCACATGCATGTCCACTCAGTAAGATGTTGTAATTTGTCCACTCACAGACTCTGTAGCGTCAGCTGGATGTCCTGCTTCAGCAGCAGTCAGTGTGTGATTTATGATCATAGGGGTGGCAGGGGAATCTCTCTGACAGCTAGAACTAATGGTCCTGTCATACGACAGTCTGTCCAATACAGCTACACACGCACGCACGCACGCACGCACGCACGCACACGCGCACACACACACACACACACACACACAGACAGAGAGAGTTTCTCCACACTGACAGCTGTGTAATGTGTCTTGACAGGAACCTGTCAAATGTGGAAGAGATCAGCGCCTGTTCCTACATAAACCACATCATCACCATGACAACACTTTATATCCAGCAGGTCTGAAACTCGCTTCAATATCAAGTTTTCTGTTTATCCATTTATTTTTTACTTTCTGTCCCCATTATTTAATGGTGGTCAAACTGTCCTGTTTTGCCCTCTTCCTCTTCCCTATTCTTTCCTCTTCATTTTCCAATTAATTCCTCTGCCTTAACTTTCCATGCCCCTTTCCTCTATTATTTCTCATTCTCTTCCTTTTCCTATCCTCTATTATTTCTAGTCTGTTCCTTTTTTTTAACCTTTTCCATACTTTTCCTTTTCCTTTTCTTTTCTTCCCATTCCTCTTACTCTTCCTTTTTCTGTTTTCCTCTTCATGTTTCTCTCTTCTTTCTTGAGGAAGACAAGAGGAAAGAAAAAATTCTGGAAGAGGAAATGGCAGGAAAATAAAGAGGGAAAAAAATGAAAGCATTTGGACTTTCATTTCCTCTCCTCTTTTATTGTTTTCCTGGCCTTTCCTATTTCTTTCCTTTTCCTTCTCCCTGTTCTTCTTTTCCACTTCCTCTTTCTTTATTCTTCTTTTACATGTCCTTTTCCACATCCCTTTCCTCTAGCCTTTCTCTTCCTTTTCCTGTCATTTCCTCTTCCTTTCCATTTTCCTTTCTTTTGACAAGAAAATAAAGAGAAAATATGAAAGCATTTCCTCTTCCATTTCTTCTCCTCTTTTTCGTTATCCTGTCCTTTCCGCTTCCTTTTCCTCTTCCTCTTTATTTTCCTTCCATTTCCTCTTCCTTTCTGTTTTTCCTTTCTTTTCCTCTTTATCTTTCTTTCTCTGTATTCCTCTTCTTTTTCCATTTAATTATTATTATTGTTTCCTCTTCTTCTATCCTTTCTTATCGTTCCTTCTTCCTGTTCCTATTCCTGTTTTCCTCATCCTCTTCCTTTTCTTTCTTCTCTTCCTATCCCTTTCCTCTCCTTTCCTCTTATTTCTTTCTCTGTATTCCTCTTCTCTTTTCTCTTTCCTCTTCCATTTTCTCTCCTCTTTATTGTCCTTTCTGTGTCTTCTTTCCCCCCTCTTTTCCTCAGTATTAAAGTAAATCAACTCTTTTTTCCCTCTCTCTGTTTAGCTGAAGAGTAAGACGAAAGAGAAGGAGCTGGCTGATCAGACACAAGCCGAGGAGTTTGTCCGTCACGCTTTGGCCTTCTGTGAGAGTCTGTATGATCCCTATCACAACTGGAGGCATCGCATTCACGGGTGAGATATGCAACCAATGCCGATCCCACAGCTGAAGCTTTTCAGAAATAACTTAAATATTTGTCTTTGATGACACATGATGCATCTTACTAAAGTTTCACCCAATTGTCTAACGGGTAACATTTCTCGTATGCAAAAAATGCATTGTATGTAAACATCACACCTGTCAAATGCCAGTCATGCTTCAGTAAGAGGACATCACGGCCTCAGTTGTTAATCTCTTTGTACGAGCATGTACTAATCCAGACGTTTCCTCATGCACACTGAATAGGGCATTCTTAGGCTCCTAACTGTAGAATAAACCGGTGTTGTTTGGAGAGCTGCTCTGTTTAAAATAGCGGTGCAGAGTCAACATTAAATCAAAACCATTTACTGAAAAAGTAAATCATTTACTTTCTTAATAAATACTCCTGGTCTTCTTGTGAATGATTCGCCAGTGCGTGTTATTTGAAAGAAAGAAATGTTTGTTTTCATAATCTTTTATCAAAAAGATAAATCTTTTATCATGTTTTAACCTCTGAAATAACTTCACTGAGAAATAAAATACATTGTCTGCAGTGAAATGCTTTGTAAATGTTGCTTTAGTTATTCGGCACCACAATAATGACCGGCCAGTGGAGAATCTGTATGTGAAGGTTTATGTTACAAGTTATGGTATAGGTGTTGCTAACCCAAAGCGCTCAATCCAGTGCAGTTCCCTGTTATTCAGTAACATGAGCCACACAGATACACACTGTCAAATGAGGCAAACACACACATATACAGTGAAAAACACAGCTGTGTTTGACCAATAAACACATGTCTTGTTCTACAAGTTCTGTGAAGTGCTGTTCATCGTTCCAGTCAGTGTGTGTGTGTGTGTGTGTTTTTCCAAGGTTATTTGAGGGCAGGTAACATGGCTGGAGAAAATAACCTGGGCTTGTGGCACAAATGCCACTGAAAATAATAACATATTGGGGGAAAAAAAGACTGCTCAATAGATATGTTTTTCAATGTTATCTAGTACTTTATATTTTTTATTATTTAAATTAATATATTATGGTTAATACATTCACTATTATTTATGTATTTATTTATTTTACCTCCCCTCCAACTGGAGGGATTGATGCAAATAATTCATTAATTCATAAAAATAATTACAAAATTAAAATTAATGTTTTTAAAATGAAAACAATCTAAATAAAAGACGAAAAAATAGATGAAATGTTTTAGTTGTTTTCCTGCATGCCATGTGACCATTACCCGACATCAGAGAACCATGAACATGCAAATGTGTTGTTAAATTATTGAAATATTGACTTAAAATCTTGGGGAGTACTTCAAGTAAATGATGTATAAATCTCAATTTAAAAAAATGGACCCTTATGACTGGTTTTGTGGTCCAGGGTCACATATTAGGTCAAATGGGTTTGACTGACAAGACGGTTTGGGAATGCCTGCTCTATGGCGTGATCCAGGACTGTGAGATATTGTATTGAAATGTGAGTAATGGGTCTGTTTATGTGGTTTGTTTGTTCTTGCAGACAGCAGCTCAGTACTGTGGAGAGAAGCAGACAGAAGTTTAAAGCTGCACCGCTCACTGTAGAGTTTGTGCCCTTCTTCTACCGTAAGTCTCTCTCTCTTTCTCTGGATGAACCCTGTGGGGCATGTGGTGTGTTTATTTACCGATCAGATCTGCTGTTTATCATTTGGCCTTCAGCGATGGCACATAAGCAGCGCTCTCTAAACAAAGCAGCCTCAGTGTCCCTTTGGTTAGAAACTCACACCGCTTATCTGTGTGTCAGAGACATGAAGTGTCACTCTGTTTCTGAGTGTACCTGTGCGTTAATGCTGTCAATATTTTGCTTTCTGTTGCCTGAGTCTATAGCACTGAGGAGCTGATGAGAAATAATGAAACTAACGAAAAACCTCTGGGGGTCTCTGTAGAGACAGGGGACAGTAAAGAGTTACAGGAAGAATGCAAGAAAATTATTCAGCATGTTTTTGTTGCCATGTTATTTGCATAAAAAACAGACACCTCTTCATTCATTTGTGTGTGTGTGTTTATGTTTCAGAATGTTTTCAGGAGAGTGAGCACCTGAAGGACAGTCTTAAATGTTGCCTTTTGCACCTGTTTGGAGCCGTTGTTGCGGGTGGACAGGTGAGATCATGCCACAGCAGCAAAAGAATAGTGCTGAGGATAAAATGGTGTGTTAATTGGTGAAATTACATTTCCACCAATCACAATTCAGAATGCAAATAATTGTAATAAAGACCAATTGCAATGTAGTATAAAAAATTATACACATACAAAAAAATGCAATTCTGAATGCAAATAATAGCAAGAAAGAAGACCAATTACAATTTAGTATGCGATTAAATATACAAAAGACCAATTGCAATTCGGTATGCAGATAATTGCAAGAAAGAGGACCAATCGCAATTTAGTATGCAAATAAATACATAAAAGAAAACCAATTGCAATTCTTTATACAAACATTTGCAAGAAAGAGGACAAATCACGATTTAGTATACAAATAAATACGTATAAGACAACCAATTGCAATTCAGTGTACAAATAATTGCAAGAAAGAAGACAAGTCACAATTTAATGTACAAATATATGCACAAAAGAAGACCACTTGCAATTTGGTATGCAAATAACTGCAAGAAAGAAGTCCAGATGCAATATAGTATGCAAATAAATAAACAAAAGAAGACCAATTGCAATTTAGCATGCAAATAATGGCAAAAAACAAGACCAGTCGTATTAAGTATGCAAAGAAATGCAAGAGTGAAGACCAAATATGCAAAATATGCAAAAAGAAGACCAATTGCAATTTAGCATGCAAATAATGGCAAAAAACAAGACCAGTCGCATTAAGTATGCAAAGAAATGCAAGAGTGAAGACCAAATATGCAAAATATGCTAAACATTTATGTAAATCATTTTAAATCTTACTTTTGTAAAAAAATCTATTTTATAATAATCAAAATATTAGTATTGTATTTGTTTTTAATAGTGCTGCCAAGCGATTAATCGCGATTAATCGCATCCAAAGTTTTTGTTTACATAATGTGTGTGTACTGTGTATATTTATGTATATACAAATATGTATATTTTGAAAATATTTACATGTATATATTTATATTCATATAATTTATATTGTATATAAATATATTTAATATATAAACATATTTTTCTTAAATATGCATGTATGTGTGTTTATATATACATAATAAATATACACATTACACACAGATATATTATGTAAACAAAAACGTTTATTTTGGATGCGATTAATCGTTTGACAGCACTAGTTTTTAATTGTTTGTCAGTGTAAACATGCTTATGTCTTTGCTGTGATGCATCTGGCTGTTTTTTTTGTAGTGTCTCACAGCATGAACGCACATTTTTAAGTAATAGTTCTTAAACATTTTTTCTAAAACATGTCTATGAAGTACTCATTTCTGATTTATTTAGATCCATTTTAGCTGTTTTTGAAAGGTCATCTACAAACATTTCAGTGGAATTTGTATGTGAAGTGGTTTAGGTTCAAGATGATGTACTTCACTGTTCTTTTTGATGTGTCTTTTCACATCGTCTTCTCTCTCAACAGCGTAACGCCCTGCTGGCCATCTCTCCGGCCACGATGGAGGTGCTGCTGGGAGTGTTGGGTGCCGGTGAGTGTCTGAGCGGAGGTGGAGACGGAGAGGACTGGGACAGCGAGGATCCTGACAGGAAGGCTTTGTTGACTCTGGGCTGTTTGCGGGAGGTGGTGCACCGGCTCCTGGCCAGCAGCTCCGATCAGAGACAGGTGGAGATCAGCTCAGTGCTGGAGAGCTACTTCAAACTGCTCAACTCGGACCCCGCCGCCACAGCGCAGGTCAAAGGTCGCCCGTCGCCGCCCCGCTCTCGGCACTGGGAGAGCCGCTTTGTGGCATTACAGGTGAACATGCTCGGTGAGTTGATCTGTCACTCGTGTCGTGTTTGCTAATCTTGACTGCTTCTCTGTTCTGAATCCTGTTCTCCGTTTCACTCAGAAACCATTCAGGACATGTTTGAGTGCAGCGACCGCCCCGTCCTGCAGGCCATCTTCCTCAACAGTAACTGCTTTGAGCATCTGACCCGACTCCTGCAGAACAGTAAGGTGAGCTCCTCTACAGACGTTACATTTCCTGACCATCATGCATTCGGGTTTATTCAGTTCTGAGTCGATATAGAGCTTTGGGAACATTCAGAGAATCTTTCCTTTCAAAGAAAGTCTTCAAAGCCTCTCCGAGATGAATCAATATTTGATTGACAGGAAAAAAGCATTTGAACATCTGTGGGGGGGGAAAAGATTTTATGTCTCTTTTGAGGGAATGAATGCACTACTCTTCCCATAAACCATTGTGAATACTTTAAGAAGACACAAAAACACAGATAATAATGTATTTTCTTATCAGATGATGAATTAAAGATGAATTAAATTGATCAAAAGGGACAGTAAAGACATTTATAATGTTACAAAAGATTTCTGTTTCAATGCTGTTCTTTTGAACTTTTTATTAATCAGAGAATCCTGAAATAATCCATTGTGTCCACGTAAATATGAAACAGCACAACATGAAACAGTTTTCAAAATTGATAATAATCAGAAATGTTTCTTGAACAGCAAATCAGTATATTAGAATGATTTCTGAAGGATCATGTGACACTGAAGACTTGGATGCTGAAAATTCAGCTTTGCTTCACAGGAATAAATGACATTTTAACGTATATTCAGATGGAAAATAATTATTTTAAATTGTAATAATATTTCACAATGTTACTGTTTGAACTATTTTTGATCAAATAAATGCAGCTTTGGTGATCATAAGAGACTCTTTCAAAAACATAAGATGATCTTACTGACCCCAAACTTTTGAACGATAGATTATTTTGCCTGTAAAACAAGATATGACATAATTATTTATTATCCTTATAAATATACAATTATCTAATCCAAAACAGTGAAGTCATATTTTTAAGTGCAAATTAGTTATGACCCTAACATACTAATATTCAGCAGTTAATTGTGATTCTTTAATAATGTAGTCAAATGACGTTGACTTCTACAGAATTTGGCAGCTTTAAAATCATGGCAGGTCTCTTATGAAAGATTGATGTTATCTCTAAAAGATGTGCAGATTTTTAATTGAATTCTTCCGAGACCCAGCAGTTGAGCTCTATTGACACTCAGTGACTTTTACAGGTTGTTAATGACCTATTGCCTTATACATTGTAGTGTTTGACAGGAATATCTATGTTTGTTGTAGATCCTGTCAGAATCTAAAGACTCGTTTATTGCGGTTTAACTGACAGTGTGTTCAGTTGCAGGATTTATGCATGACAGAATTTGTCTCGCCAGTCAGTTTTTCGTGCAAATATTTACAATCCTTTTTTTTTTAATCTTTGCCTTAAAGAACAGTATGTTTTGTGAATATTTGTGTGTTTCAGATTAACTGTTTCTTTACTACTTATGTTGCTATTAAAACTGTCTCTATTAAAACTGTCTCACTGTGCTTATATAGTTATCATTTTACAGCATGTACACGTATCAGAACTGCAGCACTGCCTTCTATCCATGCATGTTTCTGTCCTTTAGCGACGGAACACCTAGGCACTTAGGGTCATGACCTTTGACCTCCTACCTTTTAACCTTAACCCTTTGCACTTTCCTCTCATCTGCCCGTCTGTGCTTGCTGCGGTCGGCTCCGTCCGGCAGCTGGTTAACGCTAGGTGCACAGCCGCAGACAAGGACCAGAAAGATTTAACCAACAGGTTACTGACAGGAGAGAGTGAGATTCAGGTACCGCCCACCTGTGCCTGTCGCTCCTGCTCACCACGCCCCCTGCCGCCCACATGACCACTCCAGGACAAGATCACAGTCCTCTCTCTCTCTCTCTCAGTCTCTCTCTCTCATTTTCATGTGGGTCTCAGTCCGCAGAGTTGTGCGCCGCTGTCTGCTAAGCAGAGCCGGCATCGCAGACTTTAATTTATTCTCTAGTTTACTGTCATCCATCAGGGATTAGAGACAGAGGGAGACTTCTGTTCTCTCTCTGTCTCTCTCTCTGTTTTTTTTTCACCCTCCCCTTCTCTCCTAGCTGCGGGGGGCTCGCAGATCCAAACCAGGTTCTGATATGATTATTGCGAGATGAACCTCACCTCTCCGAAGATCCAACTACACAATGGGATCTACTTTAGCACATACATGTATCAGGTAGGTGAGGGACAGTGACCCATCCTGCCTTTGGCTGGCTGCTTAAACACGTGCAAGTTGCTTTCGAGCGGTGCGTCAGTTGTCCGAGGTGTTCTTCATTAAAGCCTTTTGCCTACATGGGAATTCTTGTGCGGAGTCATTCCGAAAAGAAATCGCAGAAGGGAACGCAGACTAAGTGGCTGTTTGACTTGCTTACATTGCAGGTTTAGGGAGCATTAATTAACTCAGAGCAGGGAAACAGGCCACTCTCAGTGGCGTATTTAAACTCTCTCTCTCTCTCTCTCTCCCTCTCTCTCTCACACCTGAGCAGGGTCACTATGAGTCACATAAGAACCAAACTTAAGAGGGGTGGGTGATATACCGGTTGATACGAGCAGATGAAATTTTATTTTTTTTAATAATTAACTGATAACAATATCTACAGTGAGCCAATATAATGTAAATATAATAATAATAATAATAATAATGAGACAAATATATATATAAAATATATAATAGAAATAATACATACATTTAAATTTTAAATAATATTTATTATTATAAGTAATAATAATATTTATTGATATAAATAATAAAAAATGTAATGTCGTATAATGTGTAAATTATATTATTAACAATCCAATTTAATAAAAGTAAATTACATGTATATAATGTACTGTTTCATATATATATGAAATAATGCGTTAATAAAGTTTCTAATATGCATACACACAATAATATATAATGAACACTCCATTTATAATCTAAATTTAGATAATAATGAATATATTATAAAGCACTAATACAACAAAATAATAAAAAAAAATCAATATAATAAAGGAAAATAATGTACATGAATTTGCTGAAATTAAACTTAATTTAAATTTTTGAAATTGCACGTAATATTACAAGATTTACTTAAAAATAGAGTATATTAAATGTTTCTTCAAATGTTTTCTGTTTATGTTAATCAACCAACTGAATATGGATATTGGCAGATACTGATATTCTCATTATAGTCTAATATTGGCTAAAATATTGTGTTTCTATCACTAGTTTCACATTTAAATTAACTTTTTTTTTTCACTGCGTTTTACAGTAGGTACATTTTCCATAACATTTATATTGACTCATTGACCACGATATTTAACAATATATAATAAAGGTAATATTTAAAATGGTACATTTTTGCTTATATTACCCACTCGTACTTGCATGCATTTGCATTTGCACTTGCACCGTGACCTGACAACACAGAGTATCATATCCAAATAAACTGACACCATAAGTGACCGGCCCTGTTTCATGAGCCATTCAATGCTTCCTCATTGCAGAAGCAGAACAATTATCAGTCCATTTCTTCATGTAAAGTGCTGTGAATGTAGAAGCTTGTAATGGAGTGGTCTTTAGTTTATTTACTCACTCATGCTTTCAATGATCATCTCATTTGATATATTTTGCTTTGCTTGTTTCCCTCCCGTTCCCCCTTCGCCTGTCCTCTGGTGTTTTGGTAACAGGGTTGGAATTCTGTGACTTCAGCAGCCTGTAGCTGTGTGCTTTGTGCTGTGTAGAAGTACCTCCTTGATTTCATGTCTTATTCTGTTTATTTGCTGCGTCACTCTCCAGCCAGTCTTTGTCGTATTCTTATACCCAATGAACTAGCCAATTGCAATGGCAGATTGAATGTCATGTGATTTTTGCAATCAGCCAATCAGGAGTCTCATGACACTGCGTGGCTGGACAGATTTTTTGGGTTGTGGAGGGAATATGTTGTCTGTGTGTATATGAAGTGTGTGTATTCGGGTGTATTGGTTGGTGTTGGTGTTGGTGTTGGAGTTTTTAGTTTCAGATCTGAGCACTGATGGTCTGATATTGTGTATATCAGAGGCTCAGAACTCAAACAGTTTCACAAAGATAATCAACATTTTTTAATTACCCACAGTGTCTGATTCTATTCCTGCCTGTTTATGTAAGCATGGTTCTGTTGTAGAATTTTTGCCATTCGTCATGGCTTTTCACTCATCATTTGCATGGCAAAGTGAACAGATAGGGCAGGAATAGAACAGGCCTCATGCTGTACTGAGTCTTCAGCCATTGGCTGGATCTCTTGATTGACTGTGTTTTCCTCCAATCAGGTGTTCCAAGGGAGGCTCGACTCTCTTGCCATGGCAACGATCAAAACTCTCACGACAGTGATGCACAAGTCGCCTGCTGCAAAGGTTTGTTATAATCAAGTGATCCATCGTTAGACTTTGTGTACAGGATTCCTATCTGGAATGGGCCTAAAGTGAAGTTTTATAATAGGAAGAAACATATGCATTATCATTCAAAAGTTCACTACATTTTTTTAAGTTTTAGTCTGTTCTGCTAGCCAAGGCTGCATTAATTTGATCAAAATACAATAAAAACAGTAATACTGTCAAATATAAAGATTCCTATTGTAATATATCTTAAAATGTAATTTATTTCTGTGATCAAAGCTGAATTTTCAGCATCATTACTCCAGTCTTCAGCGTCACATGATCATTCAGAAATCATTCTAATTTGCTGATCTGCTGCTCAAGAAATATTTCTTCTTATTATCAATCCTTCAATCAGTTCTTCTTATTATCATCACTGTGTAATGTTTTTTCCAGTCTTCAGCGTCACATGATCCTTCAGAAATCATTCTAATTTGCTGATCTGCTGCTCAAGAAATATTTCTTCTTATTATCAGTTGAAAACAATTGTTCTGATAATTTTTTGTGAAATCATGATATATTTTATTCAGGATTCTTTGATGAATTAAAAAAAAAAAATCATTTGTTTGACAGAAATCCTATGTAACATTATAAATGTTGTTACTGTCCTTGTTGAATAAAAGTATTCATTTCTTTCAAAAATAATTAAAATCTTACTGCCCCCAAAATTTTGAATTTTTAAATTTTGAATTACACATACTTCTCATCAGATTGTTAGAATTATTTCTTCTTATTATCAATGTTGAAAACAATTGTTCTGATAATTTTTTGTGAAATCATGATATATTTTATTCAGGATTCTTTGATGAATTAAAAAAAAAAAAAAAATTTGTTTGACAGAAATCCTATGTAACATTATAAATGTTGTTACTGTCCTTGTTGAATAAAAGTATTAATTTCTTTCAAAAATAATTAAAATCTTACTGCCCCCAAAATTTTGAATGGTAGTGTGGTTACACATACTTCTCATCAGATTGTTAGAATTAGCAGTAGAACAAAATGGAAAACATGGAAATATGAGAGATTTTTAAAATCATTTTTAGGCCTGGAAAAATAATTAAAAATTCATTATAGATAATATTTGTTATTATCGTTTATAACGTAAAAGATTCGTTTTAGATAAAAGATTAATAACCAGTAGGATCTTTATTTGATCCTATTAGGATTCTTTCTGATTGGTTCTAAATTATAACAGAAATGGTGTAAGAAACTTTAGAATTTTCACTCAGAAATTGCTGGCAAATTTCACAATTAATTACACAATTTCACAAATAATTTTATTGAATTAAATGTGACATTTTGGACTAGAAAGACTGAAATTGAATTTTCTTGTAAAACACTCCAATTATTTTTGCTTTATTTACAATTTGGAAAAATCATATATCCAATGCATGTTTTAATGCTAATTCTTTTAGTACATGATGACTAGGGATAGAGCTCTTGAACTAGTCATTGAACTATTTATAGTAACTAAAATAGCCTCGTTCCCTTGTAGGAAGTGTTTAAGGAGCGGATTGGCTACACTCACCTGTATGAGGTGTTGGTGTCACTGGGTCAACCGTCCAGACACCTGCTGAAGGAACTCATGAACATGGTGAGATGAACACTTCCTGTGAGTCAGTCACATGATGTTATCTTCCCCTATTTTTTTCTCATCAAGTCAACGCCCCTTTTTTTCTATATCGCTTTATACAATACAGATTTTCAAAGCAGCTTCAAAGTTAAAAACAAAACAGTAAAATAACAGAATCACATGATGCAAAGTTCATCAAATATGTATGGAAGCCCATTTCCGCCACTGAATAAAAAAATAAAAAAGGTATTTTTAATCTTTTTAATCTCACAATTCTAACTTTTTTTCTCACAGTTGTGAGCTTACATCTCGCAATTCTGACTTTTTTCTCAGAAATGCGTGACATGAACTCTCAGATGCGAGTTATAAAGTCAGAATTGTGAGATATAAACTAACAATTGCGAGAAAAAAAGTCAGAATTGCGAGTTCATATCCTGCAATTCTGACTTTTATATCTCGCAATTCTGACTTTATAACTTGCAGTTGTGAGATTATATCTCACAATTCTAAAAAAAAAAAAAAAGTCAGAATTGTGAATTTATATGACGCAATTCTGAAATGTAAACTCGCACTTGCGAGAAAAAAAGTCGCAATTACCTTTTTTACTTTTTTATTCAGTGGCGGAAACGGGCTTCCATAAATATGAGACAAATTCAAATTCTGCTCTAAAAAGTGTCATTACTCATCTCAAATCAGTTCAGTGTTGATTCAGTTGAATTCAATAACTGTTGTTTGATTCAGCTATAAAGAAGACAATCAGGATGCTTACACTTGCTATTTACATCTGTCTTGAGTGATCTGACCTACCGTTAAATTCTCCCTAAATGGGCAGCTCACTACGTTTGGAACGGAGCCGTCTCACTTTCTCTCTTTTCATCGCTGTCTTCCTGCAGGCTGTTGAGGGTGAGCATTCGTCCGTGGGTCTCCTGGGCATCAGCAACGTGGAGCCTCTCCTGCTCCTGATCCAGTGGCTTCCAGAGCTGGACTCTGCCGAGCTGCAGATCTTCACTGCCGACTGGCTCCGGCGCATCTGCTGTCTGAACCGGTGCACGCGAGCCACCTGCGTCAACTCCTGCATGACTGCCAGAGTGCTGTCGGCTCTGGAGAGACACGAGCGGCTGCACCGGGCCTGTGCCGAGAGTCTGGTGGGCCTGTTGGGGTCTTTAGGCAGCCAGTCGCTGAGTTCCTCTGAGCTCCAGAATCTGCTGAGACTCCTGCGTCAGGACGAGCCGGGCCGCGCTCACCCGTATGTGGGTCCGGTGCTGCGGGCGCTCCTGGGGATGGTGCGCAAACAGGGCCTGGAGAGCGCCATGCAGTACTTTGATCTGTCGCCGCCCATGGCTGGCATCGCCGTGCCGACCATCCTCCGTTGGCCAGGCTCCGCCTTCAGCTTCGTTGCTTGGCTGTCATTGGACCAAGATCAGCTGGGCCCGCCCAGTAAAGGAGAGAAGAGGAAGCAGCTATATAGGTGAGAATGGAAATCAAAGAGATTGGTGTGATGGTGATTTTTGGTGGGAAAGGAAGAAGGAAAAAAAGTTTTTCAGACTTTTATTCCATTTTTTCAGTATTTATTCCGTTCATTATATACACCACCGCAAGTTTTTTTTATAATCATTCTAATATTCTGATTTGCTGCTGAAAAAACATTATTATTATCAGTATTGAAAACAGTTTTTGAAAACTTTAGTTTTTTTGTGAAAACCATAATACACACAAATACAATATTTAATGAATAGAAAGTTTAAAAATATTCTATTTATTAATTTAAAATAGAAATATTGTGTCTTTACCATCACTGTTGATCAGCTGTAATGTAGTGTAGCCTTTCTGAATAAAAGTATCAATTTACTGTACCCAAACTTTTGAATGGTAGTATTTTAGCACCAAGATATGTTTGTTTTTTAGTTATTTTTCTTTCTTTTATTAATTTTTAACTATTTTTAGTACATTTTTAGAAAAAATGTATACAATACAATCATTACAAATATTTTGTAAATATTGTATAATATATTGTATGATATAAAGAATAGGGGTGAATTTTTAAAAGGACAAGTTTGTGTGTTTTGTGTGCCCTATTTTTTATTTATTCGTCTGTTTGCGTATTCGGCACGTTGTGTATTTAGCTGTTGCATTACATCTTGCTGTTTTTTATTTATTGATTTTCTAGCTTCTTGATGTTGTGTTTTATGCTTTTAGTTATTTATTTTTTTTAACAATTTTTGTTACGTCAATTTAAAATGTGAAAAAATCAGTTTAAAATTTGCAGTCTCCAGTGTGTGTGTGTCCCTTCTAATTGTAGTATATAATTTATTTTTACTATGATAGCTATGAGGACTGGTTTATTGTTTTGTGTGTTTTTGTGTAGTTTTTTCACCCCGGGCGGCACCGGGTTCGAGGCCTTTATCAGTTCAGCCGGAGTGCTTGTGGTTGCCGTGTGCACTAAGAAAGAATACGTCACCGTCATGTTGCCTGACTACTGCTTCTGTGATTCGCTTTGGGTGAGTCACATGGCCAAAGAAGAGTTTGTACTTGTACTTGTATTTATATAACACGGATGAATTGATGTCCAGTTTGTGTTTGACCTTTAGCACAGTATTGGTGTCGTTCACGTGCCGGGGAAGAGGCCGTTTGGCCAGAGTCTGGTCTACATCTTTGTGGATGGACAGCAGAAACTATCAGCACCTTTAAAATACCCAACCATGACTGAGGTGAGAGAAACAACCCTTTATATACTTTTTTGTATTTGAAAACCCACCCAAATCTCCCTGTGTCAAGTCTTTTATTGTGTATATCTCTCTCTCAGGCCTTCACGTCATGCTGTATCGGTTCAGCGGGTCACCGCACCACGACGCCTCCTCCCTCTCAGATCCCTGATCCTCCGTTTTCCGGAGGCAATCCCTCCGGACGCTCGTCATTTGGCGCTATCCTCCCGGGTTGGGGCGGCCTGCTAGGGACCAAACCTGAGTCTGTCACCAAACTGATTTCCGCCGGGACTCAGGACAGCGAGTGGGGCAGTCCCACCTCACTGCAAGGCCAGCTGGGAAGTGTCATGGTCTTCCACGAGCCCCTCCAAGCCAGTCACGTCAAAGCCCTCTGTAGCGCAGGACCAAACTGTATTTCTCCCTTTAAAA